TAGCACTCTAACTTGTTTAATGTAACTTACGCCCTTTTGGTTTTCAGAAAAAAATAATTCTCAAGGGCGTAAGTTTCATATCTTCGTAAGTAAAACAAAATCTCCAAAATTGTCTTCAAATACTAATTTGTTAATTGAAAGTAAGCTTATCTTGAGAAAATGTTGAAAATTTTTGGTTTATTTACCATTTTAGGAGGTTTCTTGCTTCTCCTGAAATATTTGTTCAATGTAACTTAGGGCTTTTTAGATTTCATATGACATGTATATATAGGTAAAAAATTTTATAACCCGAATACTACTAAGTATTTAGTTAATCCCAATCCCTACACAGTGAGATAATTTGGCACTTAGTACACAGGGTTAATACTAATGGTCCACAGTTTCTTGTACATATAGATTTTTTCATGTGTGAAAACCTTTAACCCGAAATATAGGTGGTCAAAGTTGCTCCTTTTAAAAATAAAATAATTTTCTTGTAATATTCCTGAAGCGGCATATTAATTTTGAATGAGTATATCTTGGTAAATATTTCAGATATTTATATAGTTCAGTGTATTATAATTTAATACTTCGGAATTATTCTGCAATGATCTTTTAGACAAAAGCTAAATTTTAAAGATTATATTTTTACTCTAAGAAAAAATATTAATAATAAAAATATATTTAAAAATTATAATTTTAATGGAATAGATCTAATGACTGCAGCCAATTGCAGTTATCTAAATATTACTCTTGCATAGGAAATTTTCCTTTAGCGATCTTCAGAAATATTCAAAAAAATTAGAGTGTCCTATAGAATTTAATATGTTTTTTAAAATTAGTTGTAAACTCACATAAGGGTATACATAAATTTTGGCCTTGGCACCATGTATTAGGCCACAATTACTGATATTAAAAACAATTACTTAATATAATATAACCTTGTTTGTTTATTTCCAGATTTAAATTCATGGATTATAAATTTATTTTTTTCTTTGTAAAAACCACGGAATTTATATTTTATTTTAAATTTTAATAAGAGTATACATTTTTTGTTAATGTTCTATTCAATTATTTGCTAATATTTGAGAAAATTTTCTAAAAGTTACTACTCTAATATTCATTAGGGTTGTTATATAAAGCATATTTGTAAAATATGAAGAAGAGCATGCACTAAAACTGCAATGCTGAGCATTTGAGACAAATCGGATAATACTAACCCGTTTCAAACAGTCTCTAAACGTTGAAAATGTGTTTGAATAGGAAAATGGGTTTTATAAACGTTTTGCAGAAACTGTGCTACAAATATTCAAATTTTGCATTTTCTTATAAAAGCAGTCTTATCGTGCTGATTATTATGTGGAGCGTTTGGCCAATGTCACTAAGATTTGGTTAATGTCGGTCTAAAAGTGCCAAATGTCTCACTGTGCCCTGGTATGAGTGAAAACCTATAATTATTATTATCTGCAAAATAACAATTATGTTAATGCTAATGCTTTATTTAGCATTGATAATGGTATGGGAAAAATGTGTACAACAAATGAAAACATTTCATTAAATAATTTTTCCACTAGAGAACAAATTTTAATGCAAAATAAAAAATTAACATAATATTTAATTCATTGCTAATGAAATTGGAACAATTAATCCAAATAATTAAATACTCCTATGTATAAAGTATACATTAAAGGTGTCCAAAAATGTCGATTTTGCTCAGATGGGTTTTATTTTGTTTATTAGTGTCTAAAACTAAGTTGTGTTAAATTTTAGTCAAATCGGATGACGATAACCGTGCCGGAAACCGATTGAAAAGTGTAAAATTGGGTAAAAATTAGGACTTACTTCTAGAGAAAATTATATTTCCAACAAGGTATAAAAAATTAATATCAAGCGACAAATGACAAAGTTATAGGTATTTTCTTTTCACAAAAAAACGACTAATTAATTATTATTTTACTCTTTTTTTGTAGATATTTTTGTTTACATCACTTCTGCTTACAAAACAATGCAACAAATGCATGATTTTTTTATTAAATGGCTTAGGACATTGTAAATAACTTTGTTGTTTTTCCTTTGATATAAATGTTTTATACCTCATGGATAGACAATTCGTTTTCCCGTTATCCAATTGGACTAAGTTTTAACACCAGTTAGTTTTAGACACTAATAAACAAAATCTATATTTTTTTGGACACCTCTAGTATACATGTATTCCATACTCCAAACATCTTCGAATAGGGTATTGAAGCAACCTTAACTAAAAAAATATATATTTTCAGGTGTAAAGAGCAAGATTGTTTAAAAGTACGATTTGCTTTCAGCAAAATTCGCAAAATAACGTGCAAGATCAGCAAGTTATTGATGCTTCTACCAAAGTCTACACTAATATCGACGTATGTATTGAAAAAGCAAACTGCTAAAATACCTATATTTACATATGTATGTATGGATATACATATGTACATATAAATACATACAAAATACGCTGCAGCACTCTGGTTCAAAGGCAAGCATGCATATTCATACATATAAATGTATTCACATTAGGGACATAACCTTTTACAAATATAAAATATTTTTACGCCATAATCGAATAGGTCTTTAACAACGTTTTTTGCGATCTTACTATAAAAATGCTCCATGAATGGAGATCAAGCTAGTCCTATGTGAAAACAATTGCTAAACACGAATAATAATATTATTAATAATTTTAAGCAGAAATGCACCTTTTTCTCGAAAAATGAAAAATTATGGTTTCTGATTTGGATCATATGTGAGTAAAGGTACTTTAAAGAATTAAATTTAATTTAAAATCGTTATAATTCGCCAAATCATAAAACAATTTATTCACCAATAATTACAACTACATATGTATATAAAAATGTATATAACATTTTTCGATTTTGAAATTCTCCTTTAAAAGCCATTTCTGAAATTTTCTATATTTAAAGTTATGTCCATATATTTTGTAAAATATTTTCAGGCGTAGCAATATGCTATCGCCAGTTTACGCGATTGCGAGATATTTGGCAGAAAATATGACAATCCATTTATGAACATTATCTGATAAAATTGTCAAGCTATGTATACACGGTTGTCAGATCTTACAACGTTGGTAGATCTAGCAATGTACTGACAATCGAAAATTGTTAGCAACAGGCAAATTGTCAGTTCAGACGGTTGTAAGAAAACCTTACAATTTCATTGCCAGACGATAAATTTATCTGTCAAATAAAATTCGTACATCTGACAATAAAAATAGTCAGACAATTATCTGGCGAAGGCAACATTATGTGCTTACACGATTGTTAGATATCTGACAATATTATTCTTTTACAATATTCCGACAACTTTGCAAGACAAAAATTGTAACTTCACATGGTTGTTAGACATTTTCTGAAATTTTTTTGCCAACATTATTTATTTTATTTTGTAAAATTCAGTACAAAGAATAAATCTTGTATGAAAGCACTGAATAACTGGAGTAGCTACAATTACATACATTGTTTTAATACATTTCACAAACATCAAATACATTATAACTTAATACTAAATAAAAGAGTAATGTTTGTTCGTAATCGATAAACTCAAAAACTACTGGACGAAACGTGACCAAATTTCGTGTATATATTATATGGGGCGTGAGGAGTGTTCTTTTAGTTTAGTTATTGTCCGAAATATAGCGAATTAGTTTTAGATTTTCGCTTATTACACTTTAAATACATACATATTTTTTTTAAATTTTATAGATATTAAGATTCCCATTTAGAGAGTACTAAAAGATATTTATTTCTGCATTTTTTGGGGTAGAACACCAAAAAAGAGTGAAAAAGAAGGAAAAACATTTGTACCAAAAATACATTTATTTCATATATTTCTTTACTAACACATTTTAATTATTTTATTATGATTTATATTAGCATAAAGTATTATTGCGAATAATTTTGGTTAAATTTACTTACTGGTTAATGTGTCTTACCACTTTCTTAAAGCTCTTTCTTTTAATTTATAATAATTCTGGAATTGCAGCCAATGCATGTAAGCGCATGTTTGAAAGCATCTTATTTATGGCTGTTTATTAAAAAAATATCTCTTACTGAAAATATGCGAGTAAACTTACAAAACGATCAATCAGCCCATTTATCTGAAATACAAAAGAATGACATAATTTATAAACATTATGTTGGTTTAATTATTATTTTACTAAAATAAAAGTTATTTTACTTAATAAAATATTTTTAATTTGTATTACTTAGGGCCTGCAACGCGGACAGGGCACAGCTAGCATATAAATAAAAACGATCAGATATTTGTAAATGTCAATTAGAAAAAAAAGTTATTATGACATAAGAAAAATATTATTTAATTAAATTAGTTATATAACATTTTTTTAAATTGTAAGTTATGGGGCATTGTAACGTAGTTTCACTTTTAGTCGATTATTAAATATTGTTATCAAGTAGCAGTCTGTCAATATTCTAACAATGTAATTTTTATATGTTACTGAAAAATGTTATGCCCCTAATATGCATAGCACATACGTTTATACAAAGGTAGGTGACGGTTTCGACTGAATGTGCTCGATTTTAGTTAAACAACAACCAATATACCGAAGACAACCATGGAACCTTAAAAATGACCAAAACAACATAATAAAACTAAGCGAATAAATATTTATACATATGTATACTAGCTAATATGTATGAACGTATGTATAATCAGAAAGAAATACACACACGCATTAACAATAATTACACATACATACATAAAAATATACAATTACCCAACGAACACATATTTATGTTTTGCGATAAATGATGACCACTTCATTTGATGTACAATGTAGTTTCAAAACTTTTTAAAATATTTCGGAAAAAATGTACCCAGTGATTTGGGAATGTATTATTTTCAAATAGCGTTTAACCAGAGAGTAATCGAATTCCTCAATTTGAAATCATAGCTATGTGTTTGTTGGGCAGCAGAGGCTCTCTGACTGTTTTGTTTTGTAGTAGTAGCAGAAACTGAACTGAACTAGACAGGTGACAAGATCGAAGTGAATCAAATAGAAGACGGGTACCATAAGCCCAGATAAAGTTAGTTTGTTATTAAGACGCGAAGCATTCGGATGCTCGTAAAAATCACGCGAAAAGAACTTTCTACGAAAAAGAAACATTATTATTAATAATTTAAAGTGTGTATGAGTTCTAAAAATAAGTAACACACCATTTGTTAAAACCATATAAATTTAGAAAATATTGAATAAATAAATCTAAAGGACTTTGTAAATTTCTTGTAGAAGGCAAGTACTTTTTGTTGTGTCTTCTACTTTATTATACACACAAATACATACATATGTATGTATAAATATTATTTTTGCATTCGATGTGTGAGATTGAAGTTTGATAATATGTACAATAATTGTAATCTAATTATCATGCTTAAATAAATATTGCAACACCACTGAATACAATTGTATTATGTTTTGTTGATGTATTGTTAAGTGAGATCAAATATCAAAAAATAGACCTGGAAATTTTGGTATTTATTAGTGAAAATAACGAATACATAAACCAACATACCTGTACTTATTAACGTGTACTTATTTTGTCTTTGGTAAAAATTCATAAAATATAGAAAATGCTATTTATTTCTCAAGAAATTGTGATCATCAATATCTAAACTGTGTTTGTTGATAAATAACAAAAAATATTATCTAAATTATTGGCAAAAGTGTTAAATACACCAAAAAGCACTAAATAGTACTGTATAAATATATTGTGAAATTTTTAAACGAACATTTTGTTGAATTTCGAAATTTCGAATTTTAAAAATTGCAATGTGAGGAGGGGTTTTTAAATCTTTACATGTATTTATTTATAATTAAAAAACTAAAATGTATGTATGTACAGTACTCCTTTATTTACGTCGCCAAAATTATTTGTTCTAGATTTGATAAATTTTCATCATGCTAAACGTCAAATTGTTGTCAAGATAAACGAATTAGAGCGTATACTTGTCAAAACAATTGTTTAGACAAATTTGTCTTAATAATAATGACATTTAGAAGTAAATTGATCAAATTGAGTAATACAACTTTTGATTTGTCTTGACAAAAAGCGCAATATGATTCCCTTATGTATTGATATAAACAAAAATTGACAGTTCTTCTGTCAATGTTTTTTAAGGACTGTGAACGAAATATTTAAAATTATACAAAATAAAAGAAATATTTGCCCATGTGGGACATTTTTTAAATCGCCAATATTTTTTCATTCTTAAAATTAAAATCGATTTTGTGTGGAGTGATCTTATTTTGTTCATTAGTGTTTAAAAGGAACTGGTTTAAAATTTTTGCCAAATACATACATATTTGTATAATAACAGATAAAGAGCTTCATTTATTAAAAAAGAAAATCAAATTTAGCACAAAATTCATATATTTTTAATACAAAATGGCAACAGATTTAAATTGTATATCAATGGAAATAGACAAATGATAGCTCCATGATTGATATCGTTAGACTATAACCATCGATACTGTGTTTCTCTTAATAAGTAGATAGTACTTGGTCCAATCGTTAATTGCGAAATGTTTCATGACTACCATTGTGACATTTGCTTATTGAAACTACCTTTTGTTTTATTATATCACTAAAAATTTAAATTACATGCATAGGTACGTTGTTTTAATTTGTTTTCTTAAAAATAATGAATTCGGAAGTGACAAATTTAACATACATGTGTATAAAAAAAAGACACGCAAGGGTAATTTTTTAAATATGTAAGGTTAATCTAAACCGCCAAAATTACTTACATAAGTGTTACCGTTGAAAAATTTTAAAAAGTCGCACAAAATGGCATTTAAAAATAAGACTTATACACAGGGGATTTTTATGGAAAATGGGATTATATACATATCGAAATGAAAATGTATTACTTTTAACCGACGTATGAAGTAAATATGTGTGAAAATTATATTCTAGTATTGGTGAAATACTTTTCACTTTTTATATTAGAATATATCAAAATATCAGGAATGTATATTTATGTAAATGCATACAAAAAAATTAAACTGCTGTTTCCATCTTACTTTGTTATTGGTTATACCAATTTAAAACAGGAATTTTGAAACTGCCGTCTGAAGGGTTTTCCGTTTTTGATTATATCCGTTTCACGGTATCTAATGAGGATGAAACTGACATTTAAGTTAATGTAAATATGGGGAATTTCGTGTCAAGTGACCCAACTTTAAAAATCGAAAGAATGAAGAAATAGCTTTGGACAATTTTTGCTAGGTGAAAAGTTACACTCATTTGAATAAAACCCTGTATAACCAAATTTGACCCTCTCTAAGTCCGGCATTTCTTGACCGACAGAGCTGAAACTGACCTAATATCCAATAGTACTAATCTTAGTGCAAATTTCGTCAAAATCGATTTTTTGAGTTGGGTCACTTGACATGAAATTCCCCATATATTTAATGTAATGACATGGTTTTATTAGAATATATCCTAAAATTTGTTTCAGTTTAAGTTTTCTGACACTAAATGATCGGAGGAATTTGAAATAACTTTAACAATTTTAAACCGACTATACATATTCCAATTATTTGATATTAAAATTCAAGAAAATGTTTTTTGAAATGTTTTTCCAAATAAAAAAATTTATTTTTTAAATTAAAAAATCACTTAAATTACACTGAATTGAACATTTAAACACAAGTATTTATTAATTTCAAACATTTTAAATTCTTTTAAACAATAAAATAAAATCTTTTGTAATTTCAATTTTTATTTTTGACGTTTCTTTTTGTTCTAGCTGTGTTCATTAAACGGAAAAAAATTCCTGTTCTGAAAAACATTGTGTATGTGTTTTATAATTAAACACGTGAAATTGAGATGTTTTTGAACCAATTCTTTCTACACAGAAAAAAGTTTCAGCATAAATATTATGAACTGCTTTCATTATTTAAAGTTAATAATATTTAAGAATTAAATTGGTATGAATTTTATAATTTCTATTTTTTCAAACATTATCTTGAAGCCTTGACCTAAAATATTTCAAATTTATTTTTATTTTTCTATTTGTTAAAAAAATGTTTGAAGTTTTCTTAGGAAAATTTTGTATTTCTTTATGATTTTTAGATTAAAATCGATGAAATGTTCACGTATTTGGCGGCATTTTATGAAGAATAGATGCTTAACTATGTTGGATGATGTTTTCTTGGTTAACATTTAGTTTTTCTGCGTTTCAATTTATATTTTTTTATTATACAAAATTCACTAATATAGGATTACTATCTACAAAATATGGAAACAAATTGGTAGATAATGAACTTTTTTTGCAATTGTTCATAAATATCGTAGAAAAAAGTAAAAATTCAAAAACTTTTCGTCATGTACAAGTTCATACATTTTATGAACTTTTAATATTCTGAATGAAAATGGTTTGGGAAAAAAAACTCATGCTCGATTCATACAATATATTACAAAATTCATTCATGTTATGTATTATTTTTTTCTGTGTAGATAAAGATTGATTACTGATACAATTCTTAATTTAAAATTTGTTTATAATGCGAAAATTCGTTAAAGTAAACAAGTAATAGTGCTATATTCGGCAGTGCCGAATCTTATATACCCGTCAACATAGTATTTTTATTATTTTATTTTTTATTTTATTGCTTGTAGCTTCAAATATTCTTGTAAATTTTGAAAGTATTGATCTTTGGATATTTGGATTTACCAATTTATATTTATAATTACCTTAGCATCAGAAAAATATGCTGCACAGAGATCAGTTTGGCATTTGGATGCTGTTTCGGAGCATTTCAACTATATTGTTTTTCAAAACATGGAAATTCATGTTCCAATATATTGTTCCCCTAAAAATAATATGTTTTTTTTAATACCAGTTTCCATGTCACAATTTCACACATCCATTGTTAGACCATATGTGTTGCAAAATTTAGTATTCCCATTTATTATTGAATATAATAAGTTTTCAGAATTATATAACATAATTTTTATATTGTGCTTTAAACTTTTTAATTTGTTTTTACAAAGAATATATACCCAAAAAAGACCCTTTCGGAAAGTAATTAATTTTTTATTTAAACATTTAAAATCATCGCTTGTAGACTTTTGTAAAATCCAAAAAATTAAAAAAATTGATTTCCTTTTAAAAATCTGTTATTCATTGGAACTGAAAAACTTTTTTTTTATGATTTGTATTTGTGAAAACTAACATTTACGAAAATGTGAAAGAATTTTTTATTTTTCTTTAATACATCAGAATATACCGAACAAAAACATCGTTGCAGGCTTATGTATGTGGCATGGTTTTCAAACACAAGTCTTGCTGAGTTTTTATTGTGGATCGAATGGCATAGTCGTTTTAAAAATTAAACGATTGAGTTTAGATAAATAACGATTAGTAAATTATTTTTGATTTAAATGCGTGTTTGATAGCCAAAGTAGTTAATATTTGTCGAAAATCACAAGGCCAGTGATTACAATGCGAAGATTTAAAATAAAACTAGCTATACACGTTGGATTTGTTTGTTTGATTTGTATGTGCTCGACATTATGTTGATTTAAGATTTAAAATAAGTGAACTTTTTATTTTTTGTGAGTAATAATATAAAATAATTTCCAAATTAAAAAAAAAAATCAATTTAATATCAAATGTTAAGATCATTCCTTAGTTCCAAATATACAAGTAAAATTGTTGTCGTTTATTAAAACAAGATTTTGTATAACACAAAATAAGCAACGAATAGATTACCAATACGGTAAACCAAATTAGCATAATGTTAATTCATCTGCATATGGTGAATATATAAACATAAATCTTTATGAACGATTTAAATATGACGCATGTTTGTTTTTGTAGAACCGATACTTTAAATTACACGTACATTAAACGGGTACATCATCCCGTGTAGGTGATCTTCTGACGTCATTTGAAAATAGCCTAAGGGCTGCGTTTTGACAGCTTCTTTGCACCGGAACAACTCGAAGTTCATCGAACAACGACCAAGGATTGTCAACTCAGCCACACCGACTTTACACGTATGACGCATGTTTTGTAGTCCTCAGTTCAAAAACCCGAAATTTGTAGTAAATGTGCGATATGATTTTCGAAAAATACTCTTTTTGGGCACTATCGCTCAAATTAGTTAAATCTTGAATGATATAATAATCACAAGCATGGATTTGTGTTGTTTATAACACCCAAAATTTGTTGACCTACATCCTCCTTAAAATATACGAATCGATTCAGAATTATTTCTGATTT